AGCATCGGAGGGCAGTCTTGGAGGGCATTGACCGATTGAACCATCAAGATGCTTTGGTCAAATCCAGCATTGGTCTGAAGGACGTCCCAGTTTCAGAGCCTCCAACCTTGGTCATTACTTCGCATCCCCGCCTCTTTCAGGAGCTTCAAGCAGCAGATGGTGTTGCAGACGTTTTTGACGTCGGTGTGGGAGCTGAGCACCTCAATCCTGAGGAGAACTCCAAGGTCTGGTATGATGTTTTGCAAGACTACAAGAACATCGTCATTGCGATAGGGTATGAAAAGAGTACAGACTCTTTGAGACATGGTAAGATTTTGGGTGAAGTAGAATCCCATTGTGACATGAGTGGTAGCCGGTTTTTGCACATTGATGTTGCAACTACCCAGAGATGGGAGGAACATGAGTTTCCACAGATTCCCCATATCAACGACCATGACTTGGCATTCACCTGCAATGATCCTAAGCGGACTGAGCTTTTCGAATCGTGGTTTCGAGGACAGACCATGAATGATGTTTTGTCTTGGCAGTTCGTTGATTGGTTAGGTGAATGGACCAATGACACAACTTTGGACGATGAGATGTCTGTAGCATTTGTTGGTGAACTGCAAGAAGAGGCCATGGATGATGAACAGCAGTTCGATGCCATCTGGGATGATGAAGATCGTGCACAAGTGAATCCAGTAGAAGACCTGATCTCAGAAGAGACACTGGTCGATGAAGTGGACATCCCAGGCCTGCCAGCAGATGAAGTCGAACGACGCCGGATGTGGCGCAAGTTGCCTGCACGTGTGAGGATTGGTGTGAGAAGATTGCATAGGCAATTTGGACACGTCCCCAAACAGACGATGATCCATCTCCTTCGTGCAGCAAAGGTTCGAAAGGAATTCATCGATGCTGTCAGGATCCACAGATGCGAAACTTGTGAAGCAACATCCCAGAAGAAGGCCACGCACAAGACAGCATTGCCCAACAACTACTCGTTCAACCACACAGTAGGAATTGATGTGTTTGAAGTTCACGACATTTCAGGTGACAAGTTCCAAGTGTTGAACATGGTTTGTTTGGGTACTACTTTTCAGCTATGTGAGGTTGTTCGTTTTGGTGCCGGTCAACCGTCTTCTGCCGAATGTCTGAAAGCATTGAGGAAGCGTTGGTTCTCATGGTGTGGCCATCCTGTGAACATTGCATGTGACAGAGGTCTGCACAACCGAGGTGTCATGAAGAAGTACATGGATGAACATGGAATCCAAGTGTTCCACACTCCTCTGGAAAGCCCGGAGAACCTTGGTCGTGTAGAGCGCCACGGAGGGATTGTCAAATCACTGTTCAGGAAGGTTTGCAAAGAGACAAGCGCTATTGGCAGAGAACAGGTTGAGCAGGTACTGCTCGAGGTAGTAGCTACCAAGAACAACTCTAGTAGAGTCGGAGGTTTCTCGCCTAGTCAGTGGGTACTTGGAAAAGGACCCCGATCGGATCCGAGTCCATTGTCTGAAGAACGGTTCGCCGAGCTTGGAGCTATTGAAGCCCGTCACAACCCAGAGAGCATTTTCGCCTTACAGCACATGGCCAGGCAGGAAGCCCAGAAGGCATTTGTTCACCTAGATTGTTCGGCAAGAGTGTCCCGTGCGCTTACTCGCAATGCTTCTAGTCTTCCTCGGGAGTACGCAGTAGGCGATCTAGTGACTTTTCGCCGAGACAACCAAAAGGGGGGCGCCACATGGAGTCCCACTAGTCGGGTGATAGGCCATGAAGGTGAAAGGAATTTGTGGTTGTTGTGTGGAAATGTTCCAGTGTTGGTTGCCAATCAGAACGTGAAGATCGCGACTCCGACTGAGGCACTAGCGCATGCAGTTTTGCATGGTGAGCCTGTTTTCCCCGAAAACGTTGCCAAGGAAGGTGTTCAACAGTCTTTTCTTGATGCACGTGCTGATCCGAGCGAACCCGGATCCCCAATACAAATCGAATCTCAAGAAACCGAACCCCAATTTCCGGATGCTGGTTCACTACCCCCTGTTCCAGAAGATGATGAGTTAGATGTAGGGATCAGACCGGATTTCTTTGATGAAGACCAATCCGAAGGTGAAGACACGCTTGAAGAGTTGAGTAGATCCTCAGGTTCCAACTCACGCCCATCGCCTGCCGCAGGGAGTGACCATGGTCGCAATGTGAGGCCCCGTATCGCTGAGCCAGAAGGTGAGCGTGGATCCTCATTGCAACCATCCCGTAGGGAATCATCGGATACTCCAAATGCATGGCCCAATGTGTATGATCATTTGAACGACTTGCCAGTATCTCTACAAGAGCATTTTGAGAGAGCTCGTCAGAGAGACAGAGAGCAGACAGAGCAAGATCGAGAAGAAGCACATGCCATGTGGACCAGTTTTCTTGCCCAGACGAATGAAGAAGTAGATCTAGGTAAGAAAGTCCTGAAAAGCATTCACTATGAATCTGCACCCCCGGAAGTGCAGAGAGCTTTGCAGGATGCGAGAGGGAAGGAATGGGCCAAGTTTGAGGAGTTTGGAGCTGTTGTGGCGCTGACTCCAGAACAAGCGCAAGAACTCATTGATGAAGGGCACCAATTCATTCCATCCAAATGGGTGGATGTAGACAAAGCAGAGTACAAGAAGGGGAGAGACCCTGACTACAAACCCCAATACAAGAGCAGACTAGTTTCGTGCGGAAACTTCGAAGTGACAGAGGGTTTGAGGTCAGACAGTCCAACGGCCGATGTCGAGATGCACTGTCTCGTCTGCAGTTGGGCAGCCTGTCATCAGGCCGACATCCATTCAGCTGATATCACCTCGGCGTATTTCCAGGGACGACCATTGGATCGCGTCCTTCTTATGCGTCAACCCAGAGGAGGTTTGCCAGGTGTAGAACCCAATGTCCTTTTTCTTGTGAGAGTCCCTGTGTACGGAATCACGGACTCCGGAAGAGGGTTTTGGTTGCGTTTGGATGCCGATGCACGTAAGAGCGGTCTGAAGGCAAGCCAATTTTTCCCAGGATTGTACTACCTCCCAGGTGAGCAGGGAGGAGACGCTTACGCCCTCATGTGCACTCACGTGGACGATTTGCTCTATAGTTTTCTTCCGGAAGGCGAGGAAGTGATGAAGTCTTTTCTTGCCAAGTTCAGTGTCGGCAGTTCAGACACTAATCGCTTTCGATACTGTGGGAAGCAGTTTGTGCGAGGAGATGACAAGGTCATCAAAGTCGACACAACAGATAACACAAGGAAGATTCGTGGAGCAGATGTTGGGTCTAGGCTAGGCAGTGAGCGACTCCAGCAAGAAGACATCACGAAGCTCAGATCGATCACAGGATCGCTCGCCTGGATCTCGAGACAGACCAGGCCTGACCTTGGTTACAGGGTAAGCCGTTTGCAGTCTAGCATTAAAGATGCAACTGTGTCCACATTGGCAGACGCTAACGCAGTCGTTGTCCTGGCACACAAAGGTCACGATGTGGCATTGTGTTTTCCTGCGGCTCATCTCCAATGGAGTGAAGTTGGTGTGATCACGGTCACAGATGCCTCCTTCTCCAACGAGAAGAACTACAAGTCGCAACAGGGCAGGATCCATTTTCTGGGTGATCTCAAGGAGATCAAAGATGACAAGACGACCACTTATAAGGTGATGCCATTGTCTTTTGGATCCACGACAATTAAGAGAGTCTGTCGCAGCACTCTCCAGGCCGAAACGTATTCCCTCCAGAACGGACTCGAGACAGGTGACAAGCTGAGAGGTGTGATTGCGGAGATTAAGGGTAAGATTCGCAGTCTGAAGACATGGGAAGATGATGCCCGTGAATGCATTCCGCATTTGGCGATGACTGATTGCCGTTCGCTTTCTGACCACCTCAATCAGGAAGTCCTGGCCAAGGTGAGTGACAAGCGCCTTGGTATCGAGTTGCAAGGAATCCATGAGAATTTGTGGCAAGAAGGAAGACCAACATGGATTGCTTTCGAGAATGGAGGAGACAAGTTGATCTGGATCGCCACCAGTACGATGGTGTCGGACTGTTTGACGAAGTCCATGAAGCCAGATCTGCTACTTCGAGTGCTGAAGGAGTGCCACTACACTGTACAGAAGCAGAAGTAGATTTCTCCAATGCCTTAGGAAGACACAAGAGTTTCAATGTATAGCCGTGTGACACCTGTAGAACAGGTTGAGTGTGAATTTGAGGTAGGATCTCATTCTGTTGAGCCAGGTTGTCACACTATGTTGTGTCTGCCGCCGTTTGGCTCCTAGGGCCCTTGAGCTATACCGTGCTCGCTTTCGCAGTGAAAAGAGCGTGTGGACAGTACGATTCCGGTTGCTACCGACACCAGTTTTATGTCCGAAAGCTGTGCCCTTTTCCATGGAGAGGCAGTTGCGGTTCTAAGACGCAGCTGGGTCTTGTTTTTTTGCTTTTGCAGTTACCCATGGACTATATACTCTCAAGCAGACAACCCACATGGTGTACCATCAAAGCCTTAGTAGGTGGATTTGGGTGATTTGGGTTTCAATCTCCATTCCCAGCCCCTTGGATACTGTGCCTGCAGGAATCTGTCGCGTGTGGTGCTTGTGTCCTAAATTTCATGGATTAGCTCTGTGGATGCCTCATAAATTTGGGAGAATTTGGGGAGCCAACCACATAAAGAGCGGAGCAAATAGACTTGATGGCCCCCAGCCGTTGTGGACCACAGCAAGAGGTTTGAGGCCTCTTTTGAAGCGGTTCCGCGGAACCTTCTCCGTTCACCAGGGAGAGGTTGCTCTTCTTGCTTGGTCGATTGAGTCTATGAACGTGTGAGTTTTTTCCTTTTTCACCCACAGCAACGGTTGCGAAACACATCAAGTCTTAGTTGAGGCCCGTGTCGTTCAAGACTTTGGCTTCTTTGTGACGGTGACTTCCATCGTGTCTTTGTCCGGCTGAAACCAATTCGATCCCACGAGATGGACGAGCGCTCGTTTTTGGTGCGTCTCGCGCTTTCACCACGCGCAGCAGCGCGTTTTGACCCTAAGGCCAGAACTGGAGTCTCAGGGTGCCTTCTTTAGGCACAAAACGACCGACCGAAATCGGTTCACCGTGGGATTTCCTTCTCCGGCGATGGGTTGTTTCGCCCGTGGTCTGTCTCCCTGTTGGGGCGCCCTGCAGGCCGACAGGGCCTGGAAGAGTGACTGAATCTGGGTCCGGTACTCTGTTGGTGTTGCAGAGTATCCGAAGCACATGATGTCTTCGAACCTGGCTGTGGGACACCCTGCGAGACTTCAGGTAGGTCTAAAATGGTCTAAAACGAAGCACTGCTGTTGAGGATTAGACCTTACCCTTCCAATCTTGTCCCCCCGACAGCCCAGGGACTCTAGATCTCAAGAGTTTTGATTTCCCAACCAAGACAAGGGTGCTGATTTTGTTGCACACCTTCTTCCTTGCCTCATTTTTTAAAGGGCTTTCTTGGCCCAAGTCACTGATTCATTAGGGGCAAATACCCCTCCGCAACCCGAAGGCCCGTCGAGGAGATTTACGATGGGCTCCTGGGAAGTGATGGCAGCCAGCGGCCGCTCGACCAGAAGTGTGGCTTTCGACCGTGGCCCGGGAACCATCCACGGAACGGGAGTGCAGGTGAACTGGCTGTGGATCACGGCACCGCGGAGGTTGGAGTGTTTTTTCCTACAAGGTCAACTTACCAGAGTGAAACGGGCTCCGTCAAAAGCATCTGTACTCGCTCGCGCTCCTTTTGTACTTGAGCCAAAGCAACGAAGTGCATCCCAATTGACTTGGTTTCTGGCATCGGATCTCAATGGATCTGTGGAGATTTGATATACGTACATTGGTTGATCCGTCCAAGGCTCTGTGCTGACTGAAAGTTATCAGCCGTAACAAAAAATGCATTGAAAGCACTGCCAAGAGTAGCTTAAGTGCTACAGCTTGAGCTCCCGAATTGTGGCCTATTTACATATGGGATTGCACGGAGTTGAACTCATAGCGGAGTGCTGATAGTTGTACTGATTCCATGCAACACCGAGCAGCATACAAAGAAGCGTGCATGTACACAGCACAGATGGAGCTTCACACCCTCCATGCTGACTGGGTTGCATAAGCTTGCGTCCACAAACCTCAAAACATCTAAGTCAATGTTCCGGTGATCGAAAGAGCATCATGCAATCAACCGCAAGAATTACAACCGGAATATTGTCGGTCTCAGCTAAAACTTGAAGCACTTCTTCAACCACTTTCCCACTCAAGTGGTCTCCATGCAAACTCTTTTCAAAGCCACGCAATGTTCACCACAAATCGAATATCTCTTGGTGGTCTGTCAGCAAGAATCTGAAGTCCTTTGACCACTTTGGAAAACCCAGTGCGATCACAACATCAAAATCATTTAATCACATCCTGTTGGGGCAAAACGGCGCAATGCTCAAAGTGAGCATATAGCCGTTCCAGTCTCCAACAACAGACTTCTCTCTCTTGGAGCGGATTCCTTCGGAACTTCTTTCAGTGTTTTTGCACGCAGCGAGCTCAAGCATATGGTCAAGTGGTTGTGCTTGGAGGTTTGACGCACCACGAAGGTGAAGTAGACTCCAAACCCCCATAGAACGATTTTGTAACCCGCCCAGAAAGAATCCATGTCGCGGGGTCATCGAACGTCCACGCGAGCATTTCCCAGCGCCCAACGGTGCATCGCTCCGCCCAACGTCAACGGAAAAACTCGTGAAGAACTTGTGAAGACGACATCGAAGTCGGGAAAGCTCTCACATCTCGCCACATTTAAAAACCTCTGAATTTTTCTTCCTAAAAAAAACGTCCCAAGTACGCCTGCTCCCGGAGACCTGACCGGCCCAAAACCTCTGAGGTGTGCGCTGCTGGAGACCTTCATGGAGCTGAGTGAGGAGATCGGTTTAAAGGTGCCGTACCAGGTACCCTTGCACGTGTGAATCGCCCCTCTTAAATCTTGTTGTTTTCGTTTACCTTTACCTTTTTTTCCCCAAACAGTGTGGGCACACTGAGGGGTTTTTACGGTAGGAGAAAGGAAGCTGATGCTTAGATCGCTGAAGCGCGCGGCCGTGAACGGCTAATTCGTTGCTATTTGCAGTACATTCATGCCTCTCGACATCGTCCATGTGCACTTCGACTGCGCAGGCTCGCAGAATCTGAGTGTCTGCGGCGGGTGCTTCTGGCGACTGCGCTCTCATTGTGGTGCCGTGCACATTTTCGCACATTGTGGTCACTTTTCGTGGCAGGCACAAGGGAAACCTCGTGTTTTGGTGCTCCAAAGTCGACTTTTCGTGACAGGTGCAAGGGATCGGAGGTGTTTTGCTTCGAAATGCAGTTTTCGTGGCTGGTGCAGCACTTTGGACATGGTGGTGATCGTCGAGGAGCTCAGATTCCGTGACAGGTGCAGTGAATCGTGACTTTTGGACATGTGGCTCGTTTGCAGATTTCGTGGCAGGCACAGCACTCTGTGACCCTCGATGTGCAGATTTCGTGGAGGTGCAGCACTTTGTGAACCTCAAAGTGTAGATTTCGTGACAGGTACAGCACTTTGTGAACCTCGAAGTGCAGATTTCGTGGCAGGCGCAGCACTTGGTGAACCTCGAAGTGCCTCAAAGTGCAGATTTCGTGGCAGGCGCAGCACTTGGTGGCAGATTTCGGGGCAGGCGCAGCACTTGGTGAACCTCAAAGTGCAGATTTCGTTGCAGGTGCAGCACTTGGTGGACCTTGAAGTGCAGATTTCGTTTCAGATACAGCGCTTTGTGAATCTCGAAGTGCAGATTTCGTGGCAGGCACAGCACTTTGTGAACCTCGAAGTGCAGATTTCGTGGCAGGTGCAGCACTTGGCGAACCTCGAAGCGCAGATTTCGTGGCAGACACAGCACTTTGTGAACCTCGAAGCGCAGATTTCGTGTCAGGGACAGCGCATGGTGAACCTCGAAGTGCAGATTTCGTGGCAGGCACAGCGGTTGGTGAACCTCAAAGTGCAGATTTCGTGGCTCAGATGCTCACTCTCTCACGCTCCCACTCTCTCCCACTTTCACTCACACTCACACTCCCTCACACTCCCACTCTCACTCGCACTCACACTCACTCTCCCACTCGCACTCACTCTCACTCACTCTCACTTACACTCATTCTCATCCACACTCACTCCCACTCACTCCCTCACACACTCCCTCCTCACACTCACACCCTCTCACTCACACTCGCTCTCACTCACTCAGTCTCACTCACACCCTTTCTCACTCACACTCGCACTCACTCAGTCTCGCGCTCTCACTCACACTCACACTCCCTCACACTCTCACTCTCCCACTTTCACTCACACTCACACTCCCTCACACTGTCGCTCTCACGCGCACTTACTCTCACCCACACTCACTCTCACTCACACTCACACTCACTCACACTCACTCTCCCACTCTCACTCACACTCACTCTCACTCTCACCCACACTCACTACCACCCACCTTCACTCTCACTCACGCTCACTTAGGCTCACACTCACTCTCACTCTCACTCTCACTCTCACTCTCACCCACACTCACTCTCACTCACACTCGCACTCACACTCTCTCTCCCACTCTCACTCACACTCACACCCCTCTCACCCACACTCACTCACACCCACCTTCACTTCATCACCACCATCACCTCTCTGGACCCCAATGCGTCTATATCTCTAGACTTTCTGCTTACAGACCTTACACACACTGTTTGGGGTCTCTTGCCGGGATAATTAGAACCTGTATTTATTGCACATATATTTATATATATATACACACACACATACCTAGATCTTCATTAGGCAATAATTTTCGCACAACTAATTTTAGGCAAAAAAACGCCGGTTTTCATGAAGAACACCTATAAACTGCAGCCTTCGAGGGTCAAAAAACGCCGAGGCACAATATATGCATTCATGCAGGCAGGAGGCAGAACCAGAAATTGAATGAAAAACAACATTGAGAAAACAAACACTTGCCACCTGACGCTGGTCCCTGGCCTAAAGTCATTGAATTCATGTCACTCACTCCTCGAAAAAAGGCTAGCATTGATTTGTCCACCCAACCACTGATTGTAGTGAGGGGGGAACGGGCCAGAACACCCAAGTAATGGGCAAAAACACCTAAGTAATGGGTAAGAACCCTAAGTGACGGGAAGAAGGCCCACGAAACAAAACATAGCCAACTAATAACATGCAAAAGTGAACCATCAATCAAGTGAATTCCTGACAAAAAAATGGACTTCATCACTATGGAAGCTCCTGAAAACCACTGGTGGGTGGATCCTTATATAGTCACCAAAAGGCGAAGAGCGCCTAGAGGGGACAAGAACGTCTGGGGGCAAGAAGGCCTAAGAACGGACAAAGGCGCCTTTACCCATAATAGGCAAAGAACAATCAGCCCAAGAAGAAGTTCTAGGTATCTTACATTTCACATGCAATACAACATCTTAGGGGCTCAGTTCACCATGAAGATCCATTGCAAATGACCATCTAATGCGGAATTTCTGAACCAGATTGGAACATGTGGGGAACCTAACATGAAGCATGAAAGGGAACATGGGACATGACCCGAACCCAAACACACATCGCACCTTTTCTCGCTGACTCATGTCATGCGTTCGAACGACGAATGGCTCGGCCTTGAGCCAATGCAGGCATAGGATCGGTTGATCCGTGAACCATGGTTGGGAATCCATCCACAACGAAGGTTGACAATGGCCACATTGGAGACCTTCTGGATATCTAGAGCTTCAACTCATAGACTCCCAAAACTTGCATAGTAACCTTCACGGTCACAACTGGAAATGACTGGATCACGAGTGATTTCAACTTTCCACACCCCCTTTTGTGACCGTCATTTGAGGAACAGTTGCGAACAAAATGCTTGACGTCAAAAAGAACTGCATATGTAGGAGATTATTCGAAAGTTCAATCTTATCTGAGATTCATTGAAGACCTCTAACAAAGTCGTGACCGAAACTCAGGCACGCTCAGGATGGTCACACCTAAGCAAAGTTTCTGAGAATATTTCGTTTTCAAGTCAAGTTGGAAGCTCAACCGAAGGAGGCGTTCACTTGAACACTTTGGCTTCTGGCCCGAACAGTGATGGCTTCATCACCTGGCACGGACAATCTTGAGAACATTTCATCATACTTTAGACTATTGAAGCAAAGCAGACGAACGAAAGCAGTTGGAATTGGCCATCAACTGTCTAACAAAAAAGGAACGGACGCTGACCACAAATGCCGTTGCTTTATTCGGTCATGGAATTTTACAGCATATACTTTATGTCAACGTCTAGAACTTACGATTTTGAAGGCTTGGTCATGAAGTTGCATTGAACTGAAAGTTTATCCAAGCTTTGGCAATCGTGGTGATAGCTTAATTTGGTCTGCATGTACCATCCTAATTTTACATAGAGTATCGCTCATTTGATCCTGATCCGGCTCCAGATGCTTTTGACGGAGCTTGACAGGGAGGCATGCAAACCTTGCAACAAACTCGTTCAAGGATCGGGCCCCAGCGTGGACACTCACATTGGTCCATTGCATTGACTGCATGGCAGACATGATTCTGAATGCCCATCTTCATGCCATATTTGTTGACGCTCAAAAGATCTCGGCCAAAACATGCACTGCACATGTAGACCTCCTCGGTCTTGGTGCTACGCCTCAACGAACCACAGCTTGGAAGGTGAACCTTTCCGGTAGACTCGACGCTCAAGAGCTTTCTTCCCTTGTACATATTGTACCTTGACTGCAGCTCATCGGGCATTGTCTTCGGCACATTAGGCATGGCAGCTGTCGAATGGCGTTCATGGATCTGGGGCTCATCTTCCAAACTCAATAGAGGAAGATTCCGGCGGCGACCTCTTGATGAAGATGCGGATGGTGCTTCAGACATATTGGATTCGGCCTGATCATCTTTTTGATCTCGAGAAGTGCTACGCTCACGACGGCGGCTTGATGAACGAGATCTTGGCGTTCGTGGTGAACGATGTCCAGCCCTGTTCGAGCTGCGATCTTGCCGTGTCAAAACACAGCACAACGTCATCACCTGCAATAGCACCATGAGAAACATGATCTCAGCCAACATCCACTGGGAACAGAAATCAGGCTTTGCGTTAAAGCTTGAGCGGAAACTTATCGGTTCATATATCTATATATTTGGCTTCTGTTGCAAGACAATTTGGGTGTACTCACCAAAACAATCCCACTATATATTTGGCTTCTGCTGCAAGACAATTTGGGTGTACTCACCAAAACAATCCCACGGCATGGTTACTGATTCAGTTAGAGCTATCAATTGGGTGACTGACGAGATTCGGCACACTGAACAAAATGTCATTCCACCCTGGCTCAAACATGATGTATCCACCTCCGGACGCTGATGGCTCGGCGCGGCTTATGGAGATCACTCCACTGGCAATGACCTTGCAAAGATTCTCTGGATAGCGGCCGGTAGATGTCCAATCGACTGAGTTGAATGGGAGGTGATACGAACAACTGCATTCCTTTGCATGTTTCGAGAACTTACGAACAATCGTGGGATGTGATCCAACCCACAGGAAAACTTTGGAGACTGGCACATCGAAAGAACACAACTTTGGGAATTCGCAAAACAATTTTCTTCCAATGTTCTTCAATGACTTGTGAAGCTGTTCACTCTTCCAATAGTTATTTCTCTTAGGCAACTCAAAAGAAAAGTGACTCGAACTTGCACAAATCTTCTCGCACAAACTGAGCAAATGGAAGAATGTGTCATGACGATGCTGCTTCAAGGATTCATTCTTATTCAGATTCTGAATATTACTACCTCCTGTGCACGGCAGTGAACAATGGGAAAAACTGAAACCTTTGTGCCTCGAAAGCAGCTGGATGATTTCTG